GATCTAACATCAGCAGAGACAGAATGTTGTCAGGAATGATGTTCTATGATTATGAAGGAGGAATGTTCTCAAACCAACATTCAAAACATGTTTTTCAAATGTCATCGAGGCCTCAGACGAATTCTATAAAACGTTCTTGTAATCTGATATGTTAACAAAGGTGGAACATGCTTCCTACAACTTACCTTTTTGGGATGTTGTTGAGGGAACATATTGCAGAACGTTTTCTATAAAACTGTTCCCCAATGACAACAAAGGAAGGACGTTGTCAATCCAACATTTGGAAAATGTTATGGAGACCTCAGAAGACATAAAGTTCCTGTAATGTGACATGTCAACAAAAGTAAAACTTCCCGCCTGGAATGCTCTGAGAACATTTAGGGGACGTCGTTGATGGAACGCATTATAGAATCTACACAACGTTCCCACAATGAAAACAAATAAACATTCTCAATGCAACAGTTTTGAGAACATTTGGTGATAACATCGTTAGGACATCTTGAGCTATCTTAACTTTAAAAAGAACATCCTGGAAACTAAAAGAAAACCTTCTCAGAACATTTTTGGAAAAAAGAAACTTCACGTAGCAAGTGTTAGCATGCTAATGTGCCAAACTAGGATGGTAAACATTGTGCCTGCATGCTAGCGCTGCCATTTTTAGGATGCTAGCATTAGCATTTAGCTCAAAATTGGATGGTAGCATTAGCATTTAGCTCAAAGCACCACTAACAGGGTCTAACAGAGCAGCTAGCGCGGCCGTGGACTCTCAGTGTGTCTTCTAACGTCAGCAGACAGTGAATCAGAGGACAGCTTGTCTATTTATGTGTTGAGGAGAGTTTGTGCTGGAAGCTGGTGAGTTTCACAAGGCAACGATCACACAGACTGAACTCTAAACAGAGGTACAGCAGCTGGTGATGATGGTTTCCCCCTCGATCCTCATTCCTTTTTTTAGGTTTTGTTCTGAAACACCCCGTCTTTCCCTCCCGGCTTTACAAGTGTTTGTTTGCCTTTTAACAAGGTTTGTGAGGCGTCCCTCCCCTTGCAGAGTCCGAGCGAGTTGCCAGGATACAAACCATGAAAAGGAATTTCAGGACCTCAGTAAATCTATGGAGGACTCTGGCAAATGCAGACAAACACATTTCAGTCTTTAACAAAACAGTTCAGTACATTAAAGTCCCATTCATCACGGGGAGAGTTCACTTCTGGGCGTTTTCATGTGACACCCCGGGGCGCTGGGCTCTGTCAGCAGGTGGCGCTTTGCTGTACGGCCTCGAACTGAAGCGAAAATGTTCCTGCGGATCCGCAGTCCTGTCTGTGAGTTACTGTTTGTCCATCCCTTGGTCTAAGTGACCAGGCTTTTAGAAATGTTGTGGTCATCGTCCGTGTATGGCCTCAATGTTGGGAAATGAATGGAGGTTTGTTGGGCAGCCATGCAAGGAACAAGGTGATGTGTGTTCCCGCTCTAAACTTCAGAGTTTATGTCACTTGTAAAACCCAGATTGACTGGCTTGTATATGCAGGCGAAGGGAACAGGGTTGTTTATCTTCTGACTGACGTAATTCTGCGATTAGCTCTGGGGTTTTTTTATACCTCCGCTCTCTGCTGCACACACACAAACACACAGTCTGAGCCGAGGCAGACGTCGCAGCTGACCTGAGACAAGGCCCATATGAACTCAATTTTCTCCCATAGACAACAACCCAAAAACAACAACAAAAAAATGCATGCTGACGTATGCAGATAGGAAGGAAATCGATTTAAAAAAAAAAAAAACAAACAAGAAGGAGGCAGAGCGGCGAGATGAAAGGATGCTCGGAGGGCAGGCGGCTGGAATTTAGCACATCTGTTAGTTTGGCAGGGCTCTCAATCATGTGCGATGTTGTGAAGCCTGAAAGATGGTCAGAGCGTGGCAGTGTAGGTTGTATCCAAGCTCACACACATGTTTTTCAGCCCTGGATACAAGAAAAAAAATGTCTATGTTGATCTAAAGCTACACAGAGTTGCTGTGAGGGAGGTTTTTCTTTTAAAGGCGCCATGTTTCGCTCATTAAATGTATAAAGTTCTCTATTCCTTCATACTTGGTTTAAGAGGAATTTAAAAATTGTTAGTGAAATTGCTCTACAGCACTTGGACATTTTTTTATTATTTATGAGTTGATTAGTTTACCGCAGCTCTCAATAAACACTTCTGGTATGTGTTTCACAACATATTATGAGCTTCTGTAAATCGGATGGGAAAACATTTGAGTCAAAAAGAAAGTTTACAGCCCAGAAAACCAAAGTTGATGTTAATTCTGTTTAAAAAAAAATAAAAAAAATTGTATTGCATACATACAGAGGAAATCCTGAAGAAATGGGAGAAGAAACACAACAAATGCAGATAGATAGATGCAGTTGAAACCAGAAGTTTACACACACTGTATAAAAAGACATGAAACCTTTTTCTTTTTTTTTTTCTCAATGTTTGACATTAAATCAAACTTTTCCTGGTTTAGGGCAGTTAGGATTAAAGTGTGCCTCCAATTAACTCAAATTTTGTCAATTAGCCTATCAAAAGCTTCAAAGCCATGACATCATCATCTGGGCTTTCCCAAATAGTTTGAAGGTGTAGTAATCTTAGCGTATGTGAACTTCTGACTTTGAAGAAAGTAGTAAAAAATTATCTCTCTCTCATTATTCTGGTAAATTCTCCCTGGCAATTTTGGTAATCCTAATTGACCTAAAGCAGGAAAAGTTTAGTCTGATTTAATGTCAGACAGTGAGAAAAAAAAAGGTATTTTTATAGATCGTATGTAACTTCTGGTTTCAATCACTGCCTGTACATAAAAGTTATTAGATTCTCAGTCGATGTGCAGAACTCACTGGATTATGTTTAAGGATTAACTGGAATTCACTGACTTAAAGAACTACAAAAAAAAGTTATGTCTTTTTATACAGTGTATGTAAATTTCTGGTTTCAACTGTAGATAGATAGATAGATGGATGGATGGATGGATGGATGGATGGATAGATGGATGGATGGATGGATGGATGGATGGATGGATGGATGGATGGATAGATAGATAGATAGATAGATAGATAGATAGATAGATAGATAGATAGATAGATAGATAGATAGATAGATGATAGATAGAATGGGCAAAATAAAATAACTATAAAAATATATGAAACGTATACAGTTTATTATAATTGTGGTGGTTCCTATAGATTAAAGTGTAAAACAACAGAGAGGTCATGATGTAATTAGCATATACACGTACAGAGTACACCGAATAATACTTGCACAATTTAAGATATGGTAAAGTGATCCTGTGAAATCAAAACAATGCAAACATACAATTGTAAATGTACTGAAAAAAAAATCCACGGTGTTTGGCACATAGAAAAATGCTAAGAAGGTCAAGGGCGACTCTGATTTTGTCTCCAGGTGGTAAGAAGAAGAGATCAGCTTGTTGTTGGGGCACAGAAGGCAGGAGCTTCAGTCACATAGATTGCTCACCTATTGAGTGACTCAGCAGGAACAGTCATTAAAATCAAAATGACATCTGCATGGAGATCAATGGTCAAAGCATGACAAAATGTAATGAAACCGTGGTGGACAGTGCACATGTGAGGACCATAGTGCTGTTGTGCATCAGTGCAAAAAAGGAAAAGCCAAAGAGCAATCTTTCACAGGAGACGAGTCGGTGCAGGATGTGATCAAACTGTCAACAAGAACTGTCATAAAGAGGGATATTATCGTAGGACTACAGTGTATTAACCATCATAATAAAGATGAATGTGCGTTTAAGAGGCCTACAGTCTGTGGAACAAAGCGATAGAGTCGGATGAGTAATTGCAAATCAATAAAGATGTTCTGAGGGATCATCTGTAATCATCACATTTATGAAGTATTTCCATCCTGATGGGATTGTTGTCTTCCAGGATAAAAATGACTCAACTCATGGGGCATGAAGGGTTAGCGAATGATTTAAAGAGGCTGAAAATGATGTGATTCATATGCTGTGACCTTTACAGTCAGCAGATCTTAACCCGCTTTATGGGAGATTTTCAAGAGCTGTCTTCAACTGTGCTCTCTACCACCATCATTAACACACCAAATGAGGGAATATCTTTTGGGGGGAAAAAAATGGTGGTTATCCCTCCAGTAGTGTTCCAGAGGCTTAAAAAAAACAATGCCAAAGTGCACTGAAGCTGCTCTGGTGGCATATTATGGCCCAACGAGACACATTGTGTTGGGTTTTCCTGACATTTCTGCTCGTCTAAGAGCTATGGCTGCTTTTTTTTATTATTCTAATCGTGTTTCTATCAGTTTTTATCTGCGGTCTGGTTTTGTATTGCTGCCATCGTGGCGAGATCTTCCCCGCAAAAGAGGTTTTCAAGTAAAAATGGGATCTTCACCAGCTCAACAAAATAAAATCTGGAGATATTACATATGACATTAACAGTCGTTTTTCCTCATCCTTCATTCTGCGTTTTTAATTTTAGATCCTGAGGCTTTGATTTCCACTTGGGCAGAGTGTGTTATGTGGTGTTATTGCCCTGAGACAACCACTCAAGACAATGATGTTTGCCAGTAACAACACAATCACACCAGTCTGCTTACCCCACAGTTTCTTTTTCTACCAGTAAATTACATGGACATGAAGCCGCAGCCCTTTGAATGAATCACGTTTGGACAAAAATACAGAAACTGGCAACTATAACAAAACTGTTTTCCTGCCTGGTGATTAAAATAAGAGTTTGGTAAATACAAACGCTTTTAGATCTCACCGAGTTTTTGTCTGGAATTCCCCTCATACTGTTATAATCACACGGTACGCGCTCGGATCAAAAGACAACCCTTATTTATTTTCACAGCTTTGTTAAACCATTAATACGCACCGGCACATTCCGACCACAGAGTGACTCATGAAGAGGCTGAGAGCATTTTTAACGTCATTACCTTTCTCTTTTTTTTTTCTCCCCCTTTTTTAAACCGCTTCCTGTTTGTCCCCACAGTTGCTGCGGATCGTGACGGTGTCCGAGAAGCGCTGGAGAGCCCGGTCGCGTGGAGCCGGAGCGGACGGCTGGAACGACGAGGGCGAAGACGGGTTCGAGAGCGGCGACTGCGACGACGAGGACGAGTGCACCGGCGTGTCGGGGCTGGGGCCGCCGCCGAGACGCAAACGGTTACGCATCTTCGCAGGTCAGACCCACGTGTGTTCAAGCCGCATCTCGAAATTAACTTTAATTGCATCTTCTGTGGTTTCAAATGAGGTGCCCGCTCTCCACATTGATAAATTCAAATTACCCTAAATTGGATTTAAGAGTCGGACTGTGAAAAAAATAGTTGGGCACAAGCTATTAAGTTGTTTGTGCCTGCAAACCAAATTAAAGCTATTTACTCTAAAACTGTGCATGAATAGATTTGGCCTGTTTTGAGGTGAGTCAGAGTGATCGCAGTCCAAACAGGCGGTGGGCACACAAGCAGAGAGGTGTTTACATGACTACTGTACATGTTGACACCACTGTGACACTATGCAGCCGGAGACGTGAGACTTCCGCAGGTAGCCGCTTCGCCTCGACCTCCTGACCTCTCCGCCGTCAGCTCCGTGAAAGAAACGTCTGACGTTCTCCCTCGAAGCCAGACAAAGAACATTAAAAAAAAAAAAACGCTACAAACTGCTGTAAGAAAAGAAACCAAACAGAAGAGGAGGGAGAAAAACAGCGAGGGAGCAGGAACAAGCAGCTTCGATACGCCGACACAAAGCCAGCGCAGCTGAGCAAACACGGCAGTGGGAGTAGTCCTCCTGTCGGGGATGTTGTGGCAGAGATTTGGGTTTGCCGGGCAGGGAGCGGGAGCAGGAACCCGGGGTTCACACAGGAATCCTGCAGGGCCATCACTTCCAGCAGGCTGGGCCGTGAGAGTCTGATGCCCTCTCCTACGCACTCCTGTTAGCCTGACTCCACAGTTCTGCCTCAGTACGCTCATTATGCTTCTGACTTCCAAGCCGCTCAAGGCTCCGCGTCAGTCTCCACAATTTTCTCTTATCCGCTCTGTGAATTACGAGATTAGATGTTTTTAGCGTTTGTGTCTGCAGGCACATATACGCCTGTTTGTGCCTGTTTGTACACGAGCCAGCGATGTTTGCAGACCTTGAGAAGTCTCTCCTCATTGGCAGATGCACAGATAGCTGCTGATAGCCTGCAATGACCCAGCGAAGCGCTGAGCCAGCACCGACTGTTTTGGTCAAACAGGGGAACTGGAGTTCAAAGGTCGACCTGCAGAGCACGAGGCCTAATGGGCCGCCTGTCTGTGCTCTGCTGCTCTGAGATGGACGAGAAGGATCTGGTTTCACAAAGCCTGGACCGGATCGATGGTGTGGCGCGCACACACGAGAGGTGGGGAAAAGGTGACAGGAGCCACAACAACAAGGTGCAGACAGGACAGAAGCAGGGCTGAGACCCCCGACGCAGCCGCCTGTCAGCCTGCTGACCGTCCAGAGGATGTTCCCGATGATTGATCTCTGCTCACTCATTCTCTGCACAGGTTCCATAACCTTCACATAACTAATACCGCTCACCCACAACACACACACACACACACACACACACATACACACTTCCCCTCCTGACCAATCAAACCTCATGCTACACATTCCCCAGAGCATTCCAGGCCAGGGGAGCTATTCCAGGACAGGGACCCCCCCACCAAACACACACACACACCACCCACCACCCCCATCCCTCCACAGATAGACCCACAGCCAGGACTGGTTACAGCTTTACTTTACAAATCATTAGCGGATGTAAATGTTTTATTTGAGCGGTGGGAGATCTGGTGGATTCCGGTTTTTTGGCTTTATACCACCTGACCAGCTTTAATCAATTACAACCGCACACATGTGATGAGGTGAAAAACACATGTTGGGACACTGGTGATGATCAGATGATTAGATGACTTGTCTCCTGCTGCTCAAGATGCACATTGTTTAAACCAAAAACCCATGTCATCAGTTATACAGTCAGCTCATTAGCTAACATTAACCTACATGAGCCACCAAAGCTGATGGTAGAAGCAAAACCAGTGAGTGTATTGAATTACACGAGGGTGCATTTTATTGCACGTACATTCAACATTTGATTTCCAAAACTAGCAGAGTGTGTTTGCAATGTAGAAAGACAGCTTCTGATACCTTTTGGACACTACTTGGATGTAATGCTGCTCCATAATTATGCAGCGGACATTCATGATTGTGTTGAGGCCATGGCATGTACAACACTGAAAACACCCGTGACTTTATTTACAACAGCTGCACTGTGTCCACCTACACAAGCAGGATGGGGACTGCAGCTGCAACTACCCTATTATGTGCTAATATTCAGTATATTAAGTGTGAATTAACATTACCCATGTAGAGCAGTTTCTGAAGGAGCAGTAGCCCCATTGTTGTTGTAGCATCGGTGCAAATATTTCATAAGGAAACTACTTAACAACATATGCATATATATTCACAAGCTGAGCGACTAAAGTCTCAAATATGGTTACTGTAAGTATTTAATTTTTTTTTTTTAAATCCTGCTGCTCCACCAGAGAAGGGAACAAGCCACTACACAGCTAAGTCTTCACAGCCAGTTCATGCTTCACACCTCTGCGCATTCACAAGGATCCGTAACTGTTCTCTGATTGTATGTGTGCCAGGAAACAAATAGACCTCATGACAAATGCTTCTTTACGACAGCCTTTGGAGGAAAGGCTGTGCGAGGAGATCCTCTGTTGTCCGAATCAGTATAATACATCATTAAAGGAGTAACTGAACTATTCCCTGCCAGGCTTTGAAGGTGCTGTGATTTATAGCGACATACATTCCACTGCAAACACAGTGGGAAGTTCTGAAATCTCCAGAAACCCTGTGCTGTGTTCTCTGTGTTCTGTAACAAACTGCTATGTTCTGTAAAAGGTGCACGGACACAGCCTATCAGAAACAGTTTTTTTATTTATTGATATGCAACCATCTGTGTAGCAGGATGATGCAAACCTGTTAAAATGTGATGTATTGAAGTACGAATAAAGCCCCAAGCATGTTTGTTGTCCAGAAATCTGCATCTGTGAGTGCTCAGGGATGCAGAAACCATGAACTGGGCTTTATAGGCAAGTAGCACCACTCAACAGCGAGCTGGGTAACGCTCTCAGGCACTTATTTTGGGCTAAAACAGACCAGCCAACTATCTAAATGAATAATAAGAGAGTCATAACTGCCATTTCAATGGTCATCAATACATAAAACATAGAGCATATACAGCATCACAGTTCAAATTTGATCAAACCGACTCAAAAACTTTGGTTACTTCGCCCCTAAACAAGCTTTAAAAAGCAGCTTCCCCACAAGTTATACCTCGACTACTTGTGTCAGAGTGATAACACGGTTGTTAGTGTTTCCTTGTTCAGTTACTATAAAACAAAACAGCTTTTCCCTCTGAGAGATGGTACACGTGTCAACAGCTGCCATCTCCTCCCATAGATTTCTATTTGAGATTCATAAAGTGGCAAGTTGTTCCCTTACCAAGTCTCTGATTATGCTCTCCAATACTCTTATCGTTGAAGAAAATCACATTAGCTAGCAGCTAACATTAGCACACAACCTTCTTCTTTTGGCATCAGAGACATATTGGTCGAAGCTCAAGTGTGCAGCTCCTGTGCGTCTCATTTTGATGTGCCTTGTGAAGATTTTGTAGTGAACTACAGAGCAGATGAAATTTGAAGTTTAGAATTCTAGTGGCCTTAAAAAATGGTTGATTCACTCTATAGTTGAAAATATAATCATGAACTGATTTTACTGTCTCATACAATTAACCATAGATTATATAGTTACAGTCAGAAATTGCATCTATATGAACACACGCGCAGTGATTGTGTGGGTTCATGTGTGTGTGTCTACGGCTTTCTGTTAATCCATTAATCTAGGATTCCATATGACTCGCCTTTCGCTCACGATGAGGGCTCACCTGTGTTTCTACGCCTTTCATGCACACCTGGTCTCTGCCTGCACGGCCTCTGTGGGGGAACAAAGAACGAGCCTCCATCTCCACAGAAACCTGCTCGCTGATTTCCCTCAAAGCCTCTCTTCATCCTCTCGTCCTCACTTCATTTTTTTTTTTCTCCTGCTGTCATTTTACATTTGGGATTCAATACTGTGACAATGCAGCAAAAGCGAAGCGTTTTAAAGCCTTAAAATTGAAATAAAGTGAACCATATGTTTCCAGCTGAGTTTCAACTCTTGAAGTTCTCGAAATAATTGGCAGCACGGTGAAATATAGCAAATCGCTTCTGTAGTTTCAAGGTAATGTTTTTTTTCACTCAGTCAGTTCACATTGCTATCAAAAGGAGGAATTAATCCACATAAACGTCTCTTTCTATAACAATTGTCCAGCCAGTTTCCCACCACTCCTAAAGACAGCTGTTTAGGACTACAACTGCAAGACTAAATGACTTGTTAAGACATTTTTTTTTATGCATTCATTAGTCTGCAAGTGAACAGTTGGTGGGCTCTGCCTCATGTGTTTTCTTGCTGAGCTGGACGAGCTGCTGCTGCACCTCGCCATGCTCAGCAGGAGCCGCGTGAATAGACCTCTTGTTATGTTCCTGCGCTCAGACGTTCGGTCACTGTAAGCACCGCGAAGGAAAGCTGTTCATTTGGGAGCCCTCGAGCATTTTTATCAACGCCGGGGGTTAGCAAAAGACAAAGTGAAAATATTCCTGTAATGCGAAACATGCGCTTACGATGAGAGGCTGGGCTGGGCTCACCTTTCAGGTCTGCTACAAATTTTGTGGCTAGAACAAAGGAGCGGGTAAAAAGAAAGAAGGAGGCGATGAAAGAATGCGGAGAAAGAACAGAAAGAGACAAAAACACCTTTGATAGCTCTAAAGGTTGATACACTGGGAAACCTAAACATTCTTTACTCTGTATGTGGGTCGAATTAACAGCCGTACGTGCTGCCAATACGAGAACCCGGTATGTTAATTAAGTGCAGCTGTGACCCCTGACCCCTCTGCACCTGATAGGTGAGTCACACGGCGCCAGTCCTTCACAGTCGTGTTTGCCACATGTCTTCATCAAAGCACCCATAATCCAGACACTGTTGACATTAGCGGCACTGGATGCATCCGCTCATGTACGCCGTTTCCTCCTCATTTAAGCCCCATAT